GCCTGGCGTAGTTTGATTATGTTTCAGTGGGGGTTTTTGTATGGGTGTGTTTTTAGAACAGGCCTGTTATTTAATTCGATTTTAGAACAGAAACTATTTATTTATTATCGTGGTTTTTAGTATCGCCTGTTCACCGCCCTGAGTCCCGTAAGGGAGATAGGGCGGTATATAAATTTAATAAATAAATAAATAAATAAATGTAGAATCACACACAACCACTTATTTTTGGATAAAGTTGACGAGGTCCCTGGCTTGTATTTCTTTTCTCTTACTATTTCTTACCCCTTTCCTGTGCTTTTCGTGGTACCACAGGTCCCAAAATGGAAGAGCATGATGGGTACGTAGGTATGAGATCCCGTAGAATAGAGGCATCAGGTTTCTGCAATTCTTGTCTGCTGTCCAAGGTGCTGGAATTTCCCTGGCTTGTTCTCATAATCCACTCCCTATGGTCTCTATTACAGTTGGTCCTTGACTTACGACTTGCTAAACGAAAAACAATTCTTAAGTGAGTTTTGTCTCATTTTACGACCTTTCTTGCACCGGTTGTTAAGCGAATCACTGCAGTTGTTAGGTTAGTAACACGGTCGTTAAATGAATCTGGCTTCCCCATTGACTTTGCTTGTCAGAAGATCAGAGAAGCTGATGCTGTGACGCGTGGTCACTATGGCCATCCTAAATATGAGTCGGTTTGCAAGCATCTGAATTTTGATCACGGGACCGTGCGGATACTGCAACGGTTGTAAGTGTGAAAAACGGTCTTACGTTGCTTTTCCCCAGTATCCTTGTAACTTTGAATGGTCACTAAACAAATGATTGTAAGTCAAGGACTATCTGACTTTCCCTTTGGATCTTCTCCAGCATCCTACAGATGTGAGCAAAGAGGGAAGAATTTTCGAAGCACAGGTAGTCCTCGACTTAAAACGGTTCATTTTGTGACCATTCAGCGTTACAACGGCACTGAAAAAAGGGACTTACGATCATTTATCATTTTTCAAGTCAACAAAGTGACTTACGACAGCATTCTCCATGTTGCATGATCAAAATTCGGACGCTTGGCAACTGACTCATTTTCATGACCGTTCCCGGGGTCCTGTGATTGCTCTTTGTGACCTTATCGGCAAAGTCAATGGCGAAACTAGATTCACTTCACTTAAAAACATATTATTAACTTAACAATTGCAGGCATTCACTTAACACTGTAAAATGGGGCAAAATTCACAATGGTCTCGCTTAGCAACAGAAATTTGGGGCACAGCTGTGGCCGTAAGTCAAGGACTGCCTGTAAAAAGAAAACAAATATACAGCATTGTTGGTCAGTCTTGCCAAGTTAAAGATATAGGGAACTTCAACTCCCAGAATTCCTTAGCCTGATGGAAAACATCACCAGCAAATGCTGGTTTAGCTTCCATCTGAACACTTAACAGTGAAGTGGAGGTCAGAATTTAAGTGGATGGTTGATTCTACCATTGAATTACTCTTATTTAATCCATTAATCTTGAGTTGTTGGATCCCCCCCCCCTTCTTTGATGACCAAAGCTGTATATTTGAACACCCTTGAATGATACATCGGAAACTCAACTCACCAATCCCTTTTATGCGAAAAAAAAGAAGAGATGGGACAGATATAGTTTTTAATGCCAGACAGCAAAGTAAACAAACATCAATAGATCAAGCTATTATTACTATTGTCCTTATTTAAATTTATCTGCTGCCAGACACCCTGCAGCTCAGGGTGGTTTTTAAACTGTTTAAAAGATGAAAGGCAAGGCCATAAAAAAAAAGACGAGAAACAAGCAAAAAAGAGAGATGATCAGGGAGGATGGAGGTTAAAACATATGAAGAATGCTGGAATTGGGTATGTCTAGTCTAGTGAAGAGAAAGACTAGTAGCAGTATTCCAGTATCTCAGGGGCTGCCCCAAAGAAGAGGGAGTCAAGCCATTCTCCAAAGCACCAGAGGGCAGGACAAGAAGCAATGGATGGAAACTAATTAAGGAGAGAAGCAACCTAGAACTAAGGAGAAACTTCCTGACAGTGAGGACAATTAACCAGGGGAACAGCTTGCCTCCAGACGTTGTGGGTGCTCCAAAACTGGAGATTTTCAAGAAGAGATTGGACAGCTATTTGTCTTGAAATGGCTACCTACCTGAGCAGGGGGTTAGACTGGAAGACCTCCGAGGTCTCTGTTATTCTGCTGTTTGGGGCTGCTGCTTAGCATCTTCCCTAAACGTGCAGGAGACCCCTTGATGGGGAAGACGTATCTCGAGGGACACAGCAGGAAAGGAGAAAAGAGAACATGCTGACCCCCCCCTTTTTTTTCTTTGCAGGGTTGTCAACTGTGCCTGATGCCAACCCAGCTGCCTCTCTACCTTGGCTGCCAAGCTCTGCCACCTCCAGGCCTTCTTCTCCTACCCCGTAGCCAGCAATGACTTGGTGGGACCGGTCTTCTGTCCTACCACACTTCTATCCACCTTGCTACCCAAGTCCTGCTTCTCGGTTGGCCAATCGACCTACACCATGACAGGGTCTGGGCAGCGGGTTCCCGGTGGAGGAGGGCTGCGCGAGAGGCTGTGTGGCTGGGGTTGAAGGATGGCCTCTCTGGACCTGCCTTACCGCTGTCCGCGTTGTGGGGAGCACAAGCGTTTCCGGAGCCTGTCTTCTCTACGGGCTCACCTGGAGTACAACCACACGTATGAAACTCTCTACATCTTGTCTAAGACCAACAGCATCTGCGATGCCACCATCTTCCCCCTGCCGAGCGACGCCGGCCTCTTGAGCCCAGCCACCCGCCGGGACATCTTCGAAAGCACCTCCTTCCAGGGCAAAGAGCAGCACCTCACTTGCGACCTCCTCACGGCCGAAGAGCTGGAGTCCTCCTCTTCTCCCGTGTCGTCCCGCTACTTCCACCAGATCGAGATCCCTCTGACGGACCTCTTCACCCGCAAAGCCATGACTTCCTCCGCCGCGCCTCCGACGACCGCCGCCGCCGCAGCGACAGTAGCTGCGGTGGACGCAGCTTATGAAGAAGGTTTAACCCGTTTGAAGATCCGGGCTTTTGAGAAGCTGGAAGTCGACAAACGCTTGGAGAAGTTCACGGAAGAAGTGGAGCAGAAGATCGCCTCCCAAGTGGGCCGGCTCCAGGTGGAATTAGACCGTAAGACCACCGAGCTGGAGAAAGCCAAACAAGAGAGCCTCAAACTCAGTCGCGAGAAACAAGAACTTGAGGACCGGGCGGTAGAGCTCTCCCGCCAGGTGGACGTCAGTGTGGAGATGTTGGCGTCCCTCAAGCAAGATCTTGTCCTGAAGGAGCAGGAGTTGACCCGCAAGCAACAGTAAGTCCTAATTTTTGAGTTCTTGGACTCCATGGGTTGATTCTCCAAATGGGGGCCATGTTGGTAACCGTCAGGTCCAATTATTTTACCCTCCGTTGCATTATTGGAGAAGTTTGAACCTCTAAGGCAGGGGTCTTCAAACCTGGCCCTTTTATGACTTGTGGACTTCAACTCCCAGAATTCCTCAGCCAGGCACGCTGGCTGAGGAATTCTGGGAGTTGAAGTCCACTCCTCTTAAAGTCTATAGCAGGGGTCTTCAAACAAATGGGTTATTAACGTATCACCTGCGGTGATTCACTTAACAACTGAGGCAAGAGAGATCGTAAAACGGGGCAAAATTCACTTCACACCTGTCTCGCTTAACGACATAAATTTGGGCCTCAATTCGTGGTCGTAAGTCGAGGGCAACCTGTACAAGGAGTCAGAACGCACAGTCGTAGCTGATTGGTTGGAGAGAGAGAGAGAGGTGGCTCCTGCCTGAGGCAATCTGTTCTGTGATTGGCTGCGGTGGGTCAAAGGGGGCGTTTCCTAGTTTCCTGCCTTTTTCTTCGTGTCTGCTCTGCGATTTACCTCACGATGATGTTCCTGTGTGGATTTTACCTCACGATGCTCCTGTGGGCCTGAATATTTTGCTTGCTATAAACGTAGATGTAAAATATATATTTATTTATAAAAAAAACTACACGTCAGGGTCTCTGACTTCATTTGGACACACCGCCTAAGTGTGAAAAAGGGTCATAAGTCCCTTTTTTTCAGTGCCGTTGTAACGGTCACTAAATGAACCTCTTGTAAGTCGAGGACTGCCTGTGTTTTGAACAGGAAAGCTGCGGAGGGGAACTGCTTCAGGGGGGTTGAGCCCCTTTCCAGAGGAACGGAGAGAAAATTTGAAATGCCTAGGATTGGAACTGACTAGTGTGGCAAAGCAAAATTGTTGAATTTTGCTCGCTTGCAAGAGCTGACTTTTCCTTTTCTTCATGGCTGCCTTGATGGCTGGCCCTACGGTCGGTCGGAGTAAGCCTTCAGGAGGAAAGCTATTCTCGAGAGCAGACTACTTTTTGGAAGCTGCTCCCTGTAGTAACTCTCCCGCCCCTGATCTTTATTTAACACCGGCATTTGCATAGAGATGGAAATCTTGGCTTCGCTTCCAATTAAGTCCCTGCAGCAGAATAGCCAGCTTTTTTTTAAAAAAAAAAAATAGTGCAGTGGAATATGCGAGTGAGGTTGTGCCGTGTTCATCTTTGAAAAATCACAGAATCTCAGGGCTTGGAGGGACCTCGGAGGTCTTCTAGTCCAACCCCTGGCCCAAAGCAGGAGACCTTATACCATCCCGGACAAATGTTTGTCCAATCTTTTCTTGAAAACCTCTAGCGATGGAGCACTCACAGCTCCAAGAGGCAAGCTGTTCACGTAACAATTTCCAGTCAGTATTAGCGGTGGAATAGCCTGAGTTCGAGTCCTGCCTTAGACATATAAGCCGGCTGGGTGACTTTGAGCCAATCACCAGGAGACAGGGAGTTCTAGTCCCGCCTTCACCATGAAAGCCGGCTGGGTGACTTTGAGCCAATCACCAGGAGACAGGGAGTTCTAGTCCCGCCTTCACCATGAAAGCCAGCTGGGTGACTTTGAGCCAATCACCAGGAGACAGGGAGTTCTAGTCCCGCCTTCACCATGAAAGCCAGCTGGGTGACTTTGAGCCAATCACCAGGAGACAGGGAGTTCTAGTCCTGCCTTCACCATGAAAGCCAGCTGGGTGACTTTGAGCCAATCATCTTTGAGACAGTAAGTTTTAGTCTCACCTTAGGCATGAAAGCCAGTTAGGTAACTTTGGATCAATCACCAGGAGGTTATGAGTTCTAGTTCCACCTTTGGCATGAATACTTGTGGGAGACTTTGGTCCAATCATCATAAGGTTGTGAGTTCTAGTCTCAGAGATGAAAGTCGGTTGAGTGACTTTGAGCCAATCACCAGGAGACTGTGAGTTCTAGTCCTGTCTTAGCCATCAAAGCTGACTAGATCACTTTGAGCCAACCGCCAGGAGACGGTGAGTTCTAGTCCCACTTAGTCATGAAAGCCAGCTGGGTGAGCATCACCGGGAGACGGTGAGTTCTAGTCCTGCTTTAAGCACCAAGCCAGCTGGGTGATCCTGGGCCAGTCACTTTCGTTCAGCCCTAGGAAGGAGGCAATGATAACCCATTATTTCTTGGTGGGGGGGAAAAAAAAAAACCTTGTCAAGAGAACTGCAGGGACTCGTCCAGACAATCTCCAAGAATTGGACATGAAATATGAGGTCAGTTCTGAATGATGTCAGAAGCTGATGGCTTAATTTCAATTTATTGAATAGACTATAACTTCTCATTCAGCCATAATCTATGGGTTACAAGCCCGAATGGAACATATCCTAAATATCTTAATTCTTCTATGAAGAATGGTTGCAGGAATTGGGTATGTCTAGTCTAGTGAAAAGGAGGATTGGGGTGGAGTGGGGGGGACAGGATAGCAGTCTTCCAGTATTTGAGAGGCTGCCCCAAAGAAGAGGAGGGGGGTCCACCTATTGTCCAAAGCACCAGAGGGCAGGACAAGAAGCAACGGATGGAAACCGATCAAAGAGAGAAGCAACCTGGAATTAAGGAGAAACTTCCTAACAGTGAGGACAATTAACCAGTGGAACAGCTGGCCACCAGAAGTTGTGGGTGCTCCAAAACTGGAAGTTTTCAAGAAGAGATTGGGCAGCTATTTGCCTGAAATGGTAGAGGGTCTCCTGCTTGAGCAGGGGGTTGGACTAGATGACCCCCCAAGGTCCCTTCCAACTCTGTTATTCTGCTTCTGGGTTCTTCCCTACCCCCAAATAAATAAGTGCCACAGGAGGATTGATTCCTCTGGTGTTTAAACGTTTCATGAATATCCCCACCTCCCTGAGACGATCCATCCTCGTGACATATAAACTCGAACCGCATTAAATATTGAGTTTGCTGGAATTTCATCAGCAACTTTGCTATTTCCTAGTCTGCTCAGTGCCAGTTAAACTGATGCATATCTGAAAGTGCAGCAAAGAATTCGGGGTTTTTTGTTTTTTTAACCAAGGGAAGCTTGATCTTCCTGTCTTGAACTGTCAACCTGAGTTTGAACATGCAGGCAGAGGAGGGATAAACAGTTGGTGGGAGAGAACGTTTAACACTTTAAACGGAATTAAATTTTAACAAGGAATAATCTTCACGGCTCGCAGGAAGGCCGTTCTGTATAAAATACGTTTTTCCCCAAAGGGCAAACTGGACTGTCGTACAGAATGTGCCTAATTTGGTTTGTGGTTTTGAACGGGGCAAGGTTCCAATGATAGGGTTGTCCTCAGCTTACGACCACAATTTAGCCCCAAAAGTTTATTTCGCTAAGTGAGACATTTGTCAAGTGAATTTTACGACATTTCTTGCAACAGTTGTTAAGTGAATCACTGCAGTTGACAAGCTAGTCACACGGTCGTTAAGCGAATCTGGCTTCCCCTCCATTGACGTTGCTTGTCAGAAGGTCGCAAAAGGGGATCACGTGACCCCCGGGACGCCGCGACCGTCGTAAATGCGAGTCAGTTGCCAAGCGCGTGAATTTTGTCCTCGTGACCGCGGGGATTGATGCAGCGGTCGTAAGTGTGAAAAACTGCCCTACGTCACTTTTTTCAGAGCCGTTGTGGCTTTGAACGGCCACGAAACAAACTGTTGGGAGTTGTGGACTTAGCTGTATGTCTGATTTGATTTATGGCTAAGCCTGGGGCAGGATTCCCACCATTCTGGCTTGTAACCCACAGAGGATGCCTGAATGTGAGCTTACGGCCTACACAACAAATTACGATTGAGCTAATACGAACCTCATCGTCACCCAGAATGGGATTCTGAAGCTCTTTATGGTTCCTGAGTGTGATGTTGTTGCCACACGACATCTTAGAAAAAAATCAGAATGACTCCGCTTTTACTTCCCACTGGAAATTGGTCCCTCTCTCACCTGTACACACACACACCTAGACAGCCTTGCAGGTAGTCACAGGACATATAATAACCGGGTTGGAAGGGACCTCGGAGATCTTCTAGTCCAGCCCGCTGCTCAAGCAGGAGACCCCACATCATTTCAGACAGATGGCTGTCCAGTCTCTTCTTGAAAACCTCCAGTGATGGAGCACCCACAACGTCTGGTGGTGAGCAGTTCCACTGATTAATTGTTCTCACTGTTAGGAAATTTCTTAGTTCTAGATTGCTTCTCTCCTTGGTTAGTTTCCATCCGTTGCTTCTTGTCCTGCCTTCAGGCGCTTTGGAGAATAGCTTGACTCCCTCTTCTTTGGGACAGCCCCTGAGATACTGGAAGGCTGCTATCATGTCCCCCCTCGTCCTTCTCTTCATTAAACTGGACCTACCCAATTCCAGCAACCGTTCCTTATATGTTTTAGCCTCCAGCCCCCTGATCATCTTTGTTGCTCTTCTCTGCCCTCTTTCTAGAGTCTCAGCATCTTTTTTACATCGTGGTGACCAAAACTGGATGTAGTATTCCAAGTGTGGCCTTACCAAGGCCTTGTAAAGTGGTATTAACACTTCACGTGATCTTGATTCTATCCCTCTGTCAATGCAGCCCAGCACTGTGTTGGCTTTTTTGGCAGGTGCCGCACACGGCTGGCTCCTCTTTAAGGGATCGTCCACTAGGACTCCGAGATCCCTCTCACAGCTGTTGGTGTTAAGTCAAGTTTCACCTGTTCTTTACCTGTACAGTAGGTTTTTCTTCCCTAAGTGTTAAAACCTTGCTTTTCTTGATACACATTGTAAGCCCTTGACAACTACAATTAGGAGAATTTCTGTTGCTAAGCTATGCAGCTGATAAGTGACTCAGGTCCAATTGTGTGATGTGTTTTTGCCGGGGTTGTTAAGCAAATGACTGCAGTTGTTAAGTACACGAACCAGATCCACAAGCCCCC